ACCACCACCACCACCACCACCACCACCAACGCCGACAACACCAACAACACCAGCACAGCATCATGCTTGCACAACGATCCGCACCACCGCGATGGGCGGTCATCGCCTTCGCCGCGCTCGTACTCCTCGCCACCTCCACCCTCGCCGCCCCTTCCTCTACAGAAAACTCGACATCTCCGATACCACCCGCAAAACACCCGCACCCCCACCACAAGCACCAACAAAAACAGGTCCGAGACGAGTGGTCCTCCATCATGGGCTGGTACGTTGGCTGACCCCCCCCCCTCTTCCTCCTTCTTGCATCTGCGCATGTGAGCTACTTGCTGACCCTGCCTCTTGTCTCTTTCTCTTGCGCGCCCGACAGGGTTTCGTAAGTACTAACCACATCGTCGTCGGCTATCCACGCCGAAGCACGCACGCACGCACGCTCGCAACAATGTCAGCTAAGTCAAATCTCGCCTTGTCCTCCTTCTTCGCACTTCCGCGCAACAGCATCGCATGCTGGGTAATTGTCTATTCGCCGTACGTGTCTCTCGTTCTTTCATCCTCCCTAATCTCGCCTTGCTTGCCCCCTTACACCCAACCTCTCAGGTCTTGCCCTCTTTCAGTCAAATGCACCAAAACTACGTCTCCAAGTCCGCAGAGGGCCTCTCCATCACCTTTGTCGTCATCTGGCTCGCCGGCGATGCGCTCAACGCTGCAGGCGCCTGGTTCCAGGGTCTGCTTTGGACCATGGTAAGTCCATCTCCCGTACCAACCTACCGATCTCCCGCAAAACGCAGTGCTGACGGATTCGGGTTTGGCTTCGCCGCTTCCCACAGATCATCCTCGCTCTGTACTACTGCGCATGCGACTGCGTGCTGATCTTCCAGTACTGGTACTACTCCAAGTACTACCACCGCGGCGTCAAGATCTCGACCATCTCGGCGTCGCTTGAAGCCAACGAGCGCACGCCGCTCATCGGCGACGGCAGCGTCATCGAGGACGATCTGTCGGCCAAGGACGATTCGGACGACGACTCATCGGTCCGCACCCAGATCATCATGTACACCATCGCTGCGCTCCTGGTCGTTGCCACGGGCGTGGCCGCATGGTGGGTGGCCGAGCACTCGTACGGCAGCGACGACGACTTGCCGCCCGCCGCACCCGAGCCCGTGGGCTGGCGTTGGGACGCACAGGTGGCCGGATGGCTCTCGGCGATCCTGTACCTCTCGTCGCGCGTCCCGCAGATCCTCAAGAACCGCACGACAAAGTGCGAGGGCCTCTCGCTTGCGCTCTTCGTCTTTGCCGTCGCAGGCAATCTGACATATGTGGCCAGCATTCTGTTGAAGAGCACCAAACACGACTACCTCGTAGAGAGCTTCTCCTGGCTCGTCGGCAGCCTCGGCACCGTGTTCTTGGACTTTATCGTGCTCGGTCAGTTCATCCACTACCGCAGGGCCAGGCGCGAGATCCACAGGCTCCGAAGGTCCAGCATCGCCCACCACGAGCGCGAGCGCCCGCGCATCAACGCCACTCCCTCGGCCTGAATTCTTCAATCCAGCCCAACAGCATAACCATGTCCCCATAGACTCGGCGCCCATCACACTCGGCACAATATCGCATTTGATTGGATCATTGCAGGCAAGCGAGAGTGGCGGTGTTGTTAGCGGTTGCGTGTGCCTCCGAATCCAGTGCTTTGATGCCAATCATGCGCGTCGGAACGCGATTCCCAGCCTCGCCGATTCGTCGACGGTCCTGCCACAGGCGAGCGGAATCCGTACGGCCCTTCGTCGAAGTACGCCGGCTGGGCGTGCGCGGCGGGGCGTCGTCGCGATGCTGCAGTGGCCGCAGCCAAGCCGCCCAGTCCCAGTCCCGTCCAAAATCCAGGTCGCCACGACGACGATCCCGAGTCTGGCTCCGGTTTGGGCGTGTACGGTGGTGGAAGCCCCGTGTTGGGGAAGAATCCTCCTCCTGGCCACCACCCTCCTCCACCACCTCCCCCGCCGCCGCCACTTGTTCCGCCCGTGGAAGCACCTGGAGCATGCGCTCGGCCCCTAACAGATTGCCAAAATCCGTACGCGATCGTTGCGAGGATACCCCAGAATACTAGCTTGAACAACAGATCCACCATCGAGCTTGATGCCTTGGGGCGGTACGTTCTCCACGGATCGTCCGGACCCGTTTTGGATGGCAACAGAGTGTACGTGAGCGCACAGCTGTCCTTGAGCACGTACGGGTCATCGGCGTAGTCGTATCCCTCGCAGCTGACTTCCACCCGGCCCAGGCGGAGGGTGGTAGGCAGGTCTGCAGCGCACTTCCACTGTCCATCGCCCATCGACTGGCACTGCACCACGTCCGGCTGGTAGCGCGAACACGCCGACCCCACACACGTCAGCTGCGGCAGCGGCTCCGTTCGACGATACGCCGTCCGCTCCCCCGCGTAGAACGTGAGTGTCCGGATGGACGACATGGCAATTCGACGCCCCGCACCGTAGTACGGCAGATTTGGATGGTATGCCCATGCCGACCCGAGGAGCGAGAGCACCGCGAGCAAGCTCAACGCCACCGCATTCGCTCGTATTTTTGTGAGCGGCGACCGCATCATTGTAGCTTCTTGGTAGTAGACAGTCGTGGTCGTCGCAGCACAGAGGAAAGCGTTCCTCGGCGAAGCTGAGCCCCGGCTGGTGGCGGTAAGGTGGCACGAAGCAAGTTTTGCAAGGTGACGTGGAATGCTGCCATGCCTCCACTTGGCCCACAGCACGCATTTTTTTCCTTTTGATTTTCATTTATTTAATATAATTTGACAGTTTTCCGCAGCTTTCAGCTCCGCGAATCCTGACAGGAATCGTGACGACTCGCTACAGATGCGGGCTGGAGGCCTGCTCCCTCCTGAGCACAAACGTCGGCTTCCTCTCTCCGAGCACATCCCTCACGACATCGGCCAGCCAGTCCCGCGTCTGTGCCGGATCGAGCACGGTATCGATCTCGGCCATGCTCGCCACGTTCGTCGCACTGCCGCCCGCATAGAGCTTGGTCACAGCTTCTTCAGCGACGCGCTTGCGCTCGGCATCGTCGGCGATGGCGGCGAGCTGCTTCTTCATGCTCAGCTGCACGGCGCCCTCGAGCGACATGGGTCCCAGGCTCGCAGCGGGCCACGCGGCGCAGATGGCGTTGCTGAGCGTGCTGCCTCCGAGCATCGCCTGGGCTCCCAGCCCGAACGCACGACGCAGGATCACACCCACAACGCGGCCGCCGGACTGGCTGAATTCGGCCGCGGCGGTGAACCAATCGCCAAAGACGCGGAAGCTGCCCCCGCCGCGCGCGGTGCGCTCAAACTCGGGACCCACCATGAAGCCGGGCGTGTCGCACAGGCTGATGAGGTGGGCACAGCGCGTGCGCGCCAGCAGCCGCAGCAGACGCGTCGCCTTGAGTGCTCCCTCGAGATCGATCGCCCCACCCAGCGCCGACATGGGGTCGTTGGCAAGGATCGCTACGGCGCGTCCTTTGAGTCGCGCAAAGCCCGTGATGATGCCCGTACCCCAGTGCGCGCCCAGCTCCACCCACGAGCCGTCGTCGACGAGCAGCGCGATGACGCGCCGCATGTCGAAGGCGCGCCGGCGCTCCTGCACCGACGGCAGACTCGTGCGGAGCTGCAGCACGTCGCCCGAGTAGCGCCATGCCCGCTCGGACAGCTGGTGGTGCGTCCACATACCCACGAGCGTGCGTGTGAGTGCGGCGGCTTCGTCCTCGTCCGCCACCACCACGTCCACTCCGCCCGTCGCAGCGTGGATGGCAGTCGGACCGATCTCGTCCGACTCAAACACGCCCAGCCCGCCCGCCTCGATCATTGCGCTGCCGCCCATGCCGATCGAGGTTTTGCCCGCGCCCTTGGTGTCGAAGCCCTGCGCGGCGGCTCGGGCTGCATCGCCGCCGCGCGTCGCCACCACCACATCGCACGTGCCCAGCAGCGCGGCATTGCCCGCAAACACGTAGCCGTTGGCGACGCCGACGATTGGGATGCCCTTGGCGCGCACCTGGCCCATGAGCGCAAACGAGGGCGTGTGCAGCCCCGATCCCGACGGATAGTCTGTATCGCCCGGTCTGCCGCCGCCACCCTCGGCGTACAGCACCAGGGGCACCGGGTTGGAGAGCACGGCGAGCAGCAGACGGTCGAGCTTGAGATGGTGCATGTAGCCCTGTGTTCCGGCGAGCACGAGGTAGTCGCCCAGCATCACGCCCACCGTGTGGCCGTGCATGCGTCCGAAGCCCGTCACGATGCCGTCGCCCGTCGTCTTGGCCATGAGCTCGGCGACGGTGTAGCGCTTGCGCTGCGCTGCGAGCGCCAGGTCGCCGTACTCGACGAGCGAGTCGGCGTCGAGAAGCATGCTGATGTTCTCGCGCACCGTGCGGTAGCCCCGCGCGTGCCGTTTGGCCACCGCCGCCTCGCGCCCCGCATCGGCAATCGCACGACGTCGCCCTTGCAGCTCCACCAGCTCGGGACGCGGCACGTTGGGGTCTTCGCTCACCTCTTCGGCGACGGGCGAATCGGTGTCGCCGGTCGCGGCTCGTTTGGACCCTGCAGCAAGGTCAACGACCAGCAGCAGGTCAGAGGCACTCACCACGCTGCCTTGCTGCACGGCGATGCGCTGCACGCAGCCGCCCGCAACAGACGCGTCCGCACGCATCACATGCTCCATCTTCATCGCCTCGATCACCATCACCTCCTGCCCCGCCACCAGCGTGTCCCCCTTTGCCACCGACAGCTTCACCACCAGCCCGCCCAGATGCGACCTGACCGCCGCCTGGCCATCGCCGACCTGCACCTCGTCCTTGGTCGCGCTCTCTCCTGCCTGCATGGTGCTGGGCGCACGACTCGGAGCTGAAGCGAAGAGCGCCTCAAACTCGTCGGCGTGCTTTCTGAGCGCGAGAAAGTCGGTCTGCACGGTGTGGATGTGGTGTTGCGCGTTGCGCACCGGCTCGTGCGTCAGCAGCGCGAGGAGGAAGGCGGCGTTGGTGCGCACACCTCCGATCGTCGTACCCTCCAACGCGCGGCGTGCAGCGCCCAGCGCCGAGGTGTAGTTCGGCGCAGTGACGATGATCTTTGCGAGCAGGCTGTCGAACAGCGGATGGACGGCGTACACTCCATGTTTGGGATGCGGGGGATGGGCTGCGCTCTCAACGCGGACATGTCCGCCTGTGGGCCAGATGAGCGCGTCGATACTTCCGGTCTCGGGGCGCACCTCGTCCGTTTCGCCGCGGAACGACTCTGCATTCACGCGGAGCTGGATCGCGACCTTGGTGGGGAAAGCCACTGCCTGTGTTGGGAGTTGCAGCTGGTGCAGTGTGCGGCCGAGACCGACTTGGAGCTGCAGCGCAACGAGGTCGTGGCCCGTGACGTTTTCGGTGATGGTGTGCTCGACCTGGATGCGCGGATTGGCCTCCATAAAGTAGAAGCTCGCGGTAAGCTCGTCGACCAGGAACTCGACCGTCGCAAGGCTGCGCAGCTGCGCGGCACGGGCGAGGTCAAGCGCGGCGTCGATGATCCGCTTGCGCAGCGCAGCGTCGAGCCGAGGCGCGGGGGCGATCTCGACGAGTTTTTGATTGCGCCGTTGCAGCGAGCATTCGCGGTCCCAAAAGTGGCTCACCTGACCAGTGCCGTCGCCGAGCACTTGCACCTCGACATGGCGTGCATTGACCAGAAACCGCTCGGCATAGACTGTTCCGTCGCCGAAGGAGGCGGCTGCCTCGCGCGTGCACGACTCGTACGCATCCGCCACCGCCTTGTTCGCCTCGGCCGCATTCGGCCCAATGGGCACGATGCGGATCCCGCGTCCGCCACCGCCATTCGCCGCCTTGAGAATGATCTTTCCACCCGGCGCGATCGATCCTGCAAACGCCAGAATGTCGTCTAGCGCCGAAGTGCTGTGTGCACGTGTGCCCCGAAGGATGGGTACTTTGAGACGCTGCGCCAGCTCGCGCGCCGAGACTTTGTTGCCCAGCAGTTGGAGCTGGTCGTGGGTGGGACCGAGAAAGACGATACCGTTGTCGTGGCAGAGCTTCGAAAAGTGGGCGTCTTCGGATAGGAAGCCGTAGCCAGGAGCAATGCCCCAGCATCCGTGCCGTTTCGCGGCGGCGACGAGCGCCTGAGCGTCGAGGTAGGCTTTTGGTCCTTCGCCATCGAGCTGGTGGGATGCGTCGGCTAGCGCAACGTGCAACGCATTGGCCTCCGATCGCGTGTACACCGCCACGGTCTCGATGCGTGGAGTCGAGGCGTCGAGCGGGAAGAGCTGGTAGGTGCGGATGAGGCGGCAAGCGATCTCGCCGCGGTTGGCGATCAAGATGCGCTTCGACATGGTGGACACTTGAGCGCGCACGTCGAAATCAAGCGTGTTCGTCAGGGTATAGATGTGATTGCGAGCAGACGGTCCAGATTGATAATGGTGGGCGAGAGCAACTGGTGGGGAGGTCAGTGCGGGGTGGGTCGAATGCGGGGTTCGTTGGCATAAATCCACATAGCCGGTGCAGCCGGAATCTCCAAAGGGTCGGCTGTGGATTGCCGCTTTCAAGCCGAGCTAACCGGTCTTTCGGCGTCGGTATCCGTCAATCCCACGCAACGCGTCCGCTCATCAGTCAAACTCTCACGCCATTCCCCCCTGCTACTCCATCACAGCATGTCAGATGGCGAACAACACGATTGACTAAAGATGAAAGTAAAGCTAAGCTGGAAACCAAAATGAAATCGAAAATATGAACCGTCGTTGAACTCCGGGCTTACTTGGCAGCAGCCGCCCGCCTGGGGCGGCCTGACCTCGTCGTAGCCGCCTCGTCGTCGGTCTTGGGCTTGGCCTTGCTTCGGCTCGATGCTGTGGTCGCGACGGCAGGTTTGGTAGCTCGAGGCTTGGATGCAGCGGCGCGCGTGCGCGTCTTGGGTGCAGGAGCTGCTTCTTGCTCTGACTGCTCGTCGTTCTCAGCTGACGATGCCGAGGGGTCACTCTCCTCTACGGGTGCAGCGGCCTTGGTGCGGGTAGTCCTGGTGGTTGTGGTGCGCGTGCGCGTGCTGCGTGCGGCGGGCTTGATGGGCGAGCTAGCCGCCTTTCTGGTGGTGGCGCGCTTGCCCCGGCTGGTGGTGGGTGCAGCCTCATCATCGCTCGCCTCGTCATCGCCGTACGCTGCGCTGCTCGACGGATGCGCCGCCTCGCTCGCCTTGGCTGCACGGCTGCGGCTCGCGCGGACTGGCTTGGTGGTCGCTGATGCCGTGGTGCGCGTGGCTCGCGCCCTAGTTGCGCGCTTCGGTGC